AGAACGAGTCTCCAACAGACTGAATGTACTGAAGCGTCTTACCGGTAGCGTATGGGGCTGTGCACGCTCAACTCAACACCACTTCCAAGATGTTTATTCAGCCAATAATGTTGTATTGCTGTGAGCCACTCATTACAGCCACAGAGGTGACTCACAAACCATTCGAGAAGGCACACAACCAAGCATTACGACTAATTACTGGAGGGATAAAATCAACACCCATTGATGCAATGCTCCTAGTTACAGGAAGCAGCACTATAGATTCCCTTATCAAAGAAAAGGCCTTGATCCTGTATGAGAAGCTACTGCGCATTCCCATGGATAAGTTCTTCAGCACCTATGAGAATAGACCAAGACATCTGAAAACGCAATCTGGTCTAATACAGAAAGCCATAGAACTGAAGAAAGAATTACAAATCGATGACAAACCAAAAAGCCTCCCTCTACCCATGAAACCTGGACAACGTATAATCATACAGCAAAAGGTCTGTAAATCGGCCATATGTCATATTCCACCACTTTACAGTACTCACCTTACCTTTTCTCTGTCTTTGTGTCTGTCTTTCACTTTTGCATCTGTGAATCACTCTTCTGCTCCCCCTCTCAAATTCTTCTCACCTTGATGTTCCTCCCTCTGTGAAGCCATAAGTCAGCTATTAATAACTATCATTAAGTCTACCATTTGGTATAAATAACTTTCTCCCTATAATCTCTATATAACATTCATTTTGAAAATAATCGTAAAGTAGTCAAACTTATACCCAATGCTTACTGCCTATCAAATTTAGTTTTAGGTCTCGCGTATTCGGATCATTATGAGTAGCAACAAACACTGAACCTAATGGTCATTGATCATAAATACCAGTTCACATTAATATATACCTGATGCTGTCTAACTACATCAATTCGCCATTTACCTCTTTTCAATTACTCTTGTAATTCTTCAAATCAATCCAGTTCATTTGTTTTTTTGACAGGCAAATTACCAAAATACAGCAAATCTAGCGAAGAATTCAAAATTAGTTTGTCTACAGGCACAAGTGTACTTTTACTCCCTACAACTACTAAAACAGCACTTTGCACATCATGCATTATTACAAAGATAAAATGATTTATTATAAACGTGTCTTTAAAAATAATCAGAACATTCAAACAACGCATAATTATCAGTATTAATGTCAGTACAGTAGAATTGGTTTGTGTGGTCGTAGGAATACGAATAATCATAATGCTGGTTGACGGGGTAGTTAACTTGAACATTAGTGGATCCGTATGTATCACTCCATTCATATTCATAGTTGGCGGGATATATGACTTGTTCTTCCCAATGGGGTTGATAGATCATTTCTTGGGGAGGAAGGAGTTGGGGTTGGGTTTGGTTTGGTTGCGAGGGAGAAATAGAGGGTTGAGGAAAAGGCGTATTAGTTTGTATTGCCGTTTGACATATCTGCGGTGAGGAAATTATCGACTGAGAAGGAGGTGAGGGGAAAATGACTTCTTGAGTAGCTGTCATCATTGGTTGGCAAATCTTCTTCGGCTTGGATGGAGCAACCGAGGCAAGATTGTCGTCTAGAGTGAGCTTTGCTAAAACCTCTGGTTCATATACGAAGCGGTAGACATAACGCTCCCCAGACACCTTACTGATTATTCCTTTTTCATAGTAGTATCGAAGTGATCGACTCAGCTTATCATAGTTCATTGTTGGTCTGTTCTTTTGGATTCCCCATAGACGTGCAACCTATAATTTTAACAGAATTTAAGTGTTTATTTAAAATGAAGAAATGGAGATATGTCAACTAGTTGTCTATACCTCTTCTGGTTCATTCAGCTTGAATTCAAGTTTCCTGCCGGCCCAACAAATGAGATGTTGACTGGCAGGATCATCAAGCATTGTAACTAAAAATCGCCATAATTGAAGAGAGCCTTTTTGTTGAGACTGATTTTGTTGTTGAGACTGGCTCTGATGGTGCTGTCGGTGATCTTGGTTGTGATGACTATGACTGTGATGATGACCTTGCATTCGCAAGTTATTTGTTGGTAAAAATGAATCGACTGCATTTTTGCAATTGAAAGAAGGGTAGGAGTCTTTGGAATTCTTCCAGTTATAATCTTGTCCTCCACGAAATTCAACCATCATGGACTCTTAGGAATAGAAACAAAAGGTGAAGTCTTTTGATTTACGCAGAAAAAAAGCAAACACAATCAAAGTTGAACGAATTTAAGCTTTTGACGAACATTCCCACATGGTAGTCACAGTGTACCTGGGTAGTCACAATGGAAGGGGGTTAGAAGTTCCGTGTTCAAGTTAACTGAATGTAATTAACAGAAAAGCAACGTAGAGGAAGAGTGAAAGGTCGTGAAAAAAATGAGGTGGAGCAATCCATAAAGCAAGTTAAAAACAATTTTTCACTGGATTTCAAATAAAGTAAAGATTCCACGCCTTGATGACCTTGTTTAAAACATTATTAACCACGCTGAACTTAACGTGACACACACGTGGCTATCAATTGCAAGTAGATACGAAAGTTTAAAGGGCTTAATAAATTTGGAATATATCTCACATTTAATATAGTAATTTCTTTTCTCATTTTCGAACGAATTCGTTTTAAATGGGGGCTAAAGTGAGTAGCCGCCGAGATGATTTCGGAAGACTGATCTATAATTGCAGAGATGGTTCAAATAGCCTCAGCCCGAAAAATCAATCTCATTATTTCAGGACAACGACCCAACTTCCAAGCTATGATGGAAATTCTAGTGTATTTCAAACTTTTTGTGATGAAACCGAAACCAGAGAAACAGAACTTAAAGAAGGCTCGAGTAAATCACTTATAAAAAATTTTAATTCAAAAGGAAATAAATCCTTTATAACCGGTGGTGCTATGTTTTCTGAGAAACATTCATTAGAAGTTAATGATGATTATGATGACGATGATTCCGACAGTTCTTCATCAATTACCATAGGCAATGGAACTGCAGATTCAATTCTGAAGAAACTAAGAAAAAGTCGCAGTCAAGAACAGAAAAGCAAATCTGATAAGACGCTCTTGGATAGTAAGAAAGGAATTGATGATGCAGAAATCAAACCAATGGCCAATTTAACTGTAGACAAACATGATTCAGTTGATAGTATATTGAAAAATCAGGGTGACAATAGCTGTGTCCATGTGACTAAAGGATCTCCTTTTAAGGGAAATTTATATAATGGTTCAGGTCTATTGCCAGCATCGAATTCGAAACTCGGTTTTATTGAGCAGGAATCTGGAGAAATCGTATTTACCGCCTACATACAAATGAAAAATGCCAGACAAGACGAATATGAAATGCTTAAGAAGGTATCTCACCACCGAATTCGGGGACTAGAGAAACAGCAAAACTGTAAGATACAGTTCTTTGATGAGGCGCTTGAAATGAAGGCACAGCGGGTTTACATGTTGCAAATTACAGGTCCAGGTTACAGAGAGGTGATGACGTGTAAAAATTCTCTACCCAAATGTATTATTGAGAGATTGATTACAGCCGATAGTAGCTTGGATGAATTATTTTCGAGATATCAAAGAAGAAAATAGGAGCACAATATTTTCTTTCAATAAAGTATAATAAAATATTGTAGTATTGCGTTGGATTTCTGTGAAAATTAATCGCGATTTATTGGAAACTTCAGGATTTCAAAAAAATCAAATACCTTATCGATAGAGGATTAAAGCAATGCTGGAATTTGACTAGAGAGTAAAGATACTTAAAACTGATCGACATTGGTGAGTAGTACATGGGACAAATGTAATTTTGAAACATTAACGCCATTTTAAGCTGTTTGTGTTTTCTTCCTGTGATGCGAATTAAATCTGAGAAAAGCGTGATTTAGCTCATATTAATAATGGAATTATCTGGACGTTATTAGATGAGGTGTTGACAAGAAAAAATAGAATTTTATCTTTCAATAAAATAACATTTAACTGACTACAAAGCTCAACTATTTATCCGTTTTGCCAGGGTAAACTTACATCTTTCGGTTCGTCTCCTGCGTTCGAACAAACAATGGCTTGATTTTTAATAGCTCCACACAAATTTCCAACTGAGTTCTAGCTAACTTAACTACTCTCAACTATCAAAACCAGGACTGTCCTAAGATCAGGGACATCGATAAGTGCTAGTACTTTATATTTCAGGTATTTTAGGTATTCAAATTTTGAGTTACTC